TTCTTTCGATTTTTAAAAGTGGCCTTTCAAATGCGAATGATTTTCATAGAATTTTATTTCGCAAGTGTTTGAACGGTTTGTTTCTTCTGATGTTAAACTTCAAGCAATCTCTGCTCTGTCATTCAAAACCAATTGAGTGTAAAATTGTCATTTCTCTAATGAGTGTATCTAAAAAAAGAATTGAATGTCTTCTAAACATTATTACTGCGTTATCTAAAAAACGTCATTTCGAAATGACCGTCTACAAAAACCAAAATGATTCGTATTTCTAAAAATGTAATCAAACTACGTATAATTTTATTTTTTATTTTATTTCATGCACATTTTGGCCAAGTCATGACGAGAGTTAAGAAAAGCGGTGTGCATTTTTTTTGGCTGTAATTTCGGGTAAATTTAAACAAAAATGAGATCTACGTAAACAGAATGAATGCAATTCGAACGCATTTCAATGAATTAAAAATGAAAAAAGCATAAAATATTGTTTGAGAATTAGGAATAAAAAATAAGCTTTATTACAAAACTGTATAGGCGAGAATAATAACGAAATGTTATTCATGAATCGTAAAAGCGTTAACAATATAAAAATAACATAATTAAGTAACAGGAGCTAGGGGTTAGACACATCTATGGGTGAGATCTAAAAGAACGTATGTTTTTTTTTCGCTTTGAATTTTGGAAAAGGAATGTATGTGTTTTGCCAATTCTGTCTTACTAAAAGGAAAGCATGTTTCGCACCAAATAAATTTTGCAAAAGGAAAGTAAGTGATTTTGAATCAGTTGTTAAAAAAGGGATGCATGTTTAACGATGATTTTTCTGGAACTGGGCTTCGATGGATCCTCAGGATCATCAGAACCGCTCACAGTTCTGGAAGTGGGTTTTGGTGGATCCTCAGGATGGACCAGACTATGGTTTGACAATGCCCTGGCCCATCCTGAGGGTCCATTTCCAGAACTGGGAGCGGTTCTGATGATCCTGAGGATCCACCAAAGCCCACTTCCAGAACAAAGACACTTACGTTCTTTTATCCAAACCAACAAAACTGAAACATGCATCCCTTTTCCAACAACTGATTCAGCCGAAATACATACTCTCTTTTTTCAAAATTTACTTGGCGCAAAACATACATTCCTTTATTGCGACAAAGTCGAACACACTTGCGTTCTTTTAGATCTCACCAATAGACATATAGTAACTTATTGAAATTTAAAATATTTCGTCCAAAGATTTCATAGTTTGCATAGATTCTGTAAGAAGGTTTCGATACTTTTGATAATGGATGTGAAAAGACTGAAAATATAAGTATCGGGAAAGAATAGATTTGAACTTTGTGATGCGTTTCTATCCCCCAGTTTGAAATAAGGGTTTGAAAATGTGTTAAAATTGAAAAGCCATTGTTTGTTGTGTGTGTTTGTTTGTTTGTTTTGCTACAGCTAAGATTGGAATGCGCCGAGTAAAAGCGAAGATTTCAAATTAGGTATTTATATACAAGTTAGAGTAGAAAAAAAATGTAAGACTTCCTTCTTAGCCATTTCTTTAAAAAAACACAAGAGTTCTACAAAAGATTTAAGATCTAAATTAAAAAATGCTACTGATAAAGCCCTACAGACTAACTGAATCAAGTAATATTAAAATGTACGTATATTATATATGCATAATATAATGGTCTAAAGAGATGTATTCTAATACTTCAATTTCTATGGAGAGAAAGTCATATGATTATAACGTCGAATTTATATATATATATATATACGCTCTATATGTAGTAAGGTTTTTGCTATATGGCACACGAAGAAAATGTCTAGATAGATCAACAAAAAAAAAAGAAATTGGCGAATGGAAAAAACTCACCGTTGGTGGTGATAGATTGATAGCCGATCCGCGACGTTCCTGTGGTCCAATACTGCTGTGACGTCGAATTGGTAGGCCACTGCCTGGTGTGCCACCAGGAGATGATGCACATGATGGTGCTATGCGAATTTTTGGTGTCATCAATGTATTATCAGATAAACGACGATTCGGAAATGCATTTGCAACTCGCAGAAAATTGCTATCCGGTGATGATGGTGAATTGCCAAACCACCAACCGCCAAGGACACCAGAACCTGTATTTTTGATTTTTGAAACATCATCACAAACACCACATTACACGCAGTTAATGCATGAAAAGGAGATGGAGAAAGAAGAATAAAAGTCAATTTCATATGACTATTACAACAGTGTATTGGTTTATATATTTGGTTCAGTTCCCAATTGACTTTTAATAGAATATATCAAAGCATCAGCATCAAAAATAACAAAAACAGCGGCAGCGGTAGCAGCAGCAAAAACACACCGATTGAGAAAAAAAGGAGATAAAAGAGAGAGAGAAATTGTACCTGTTGAATTTTTGCGTGCCATATCCTCAGCGCTCGATGTTTTCCGTTGGTCAATGCGCAAATTGGGTATATTGAATGGTGGGACGTGCATATTATCTGACGAAAATTGATGCCGTAATGGACGATGTCGCTCTGGTGATGGTATCGACAAATTATCCAACTTCAATTTATTGCGTTGTTGTCGATCAATGTGGTCCAACATTTCTTGCAACGTTTCCAATAGAATCGTAAATTGTTCCAAATTCAATGATGGATTTACCGTTTGTGGTAACAGCGATGGCATTACTCTTGTTGCCATTAAATTCACCGAAAGACCGTACTTCTTGTCACTTAACATTATTCGATAGATATCTAAAACGAAAACCGGAGAAGCAAGAGAAATAACCGAGTAAAGAAAAATAGAAATAGGGATGAAAAAAAAGAATCAGGAATGATTGGTTTATGTATGGCATTTTCAGAACGCAAATTTCATTCTCTTTATAAAGTACATAAACCAATCTGTAAAAATTTATCACTTACGAACAACCCGAAGAATAATATCTGGATCGGACAGCCGAACCTCCCACAGCAATGGTAATACCTCATCGATAATCTGCAAGCGAAAAGCATATACGTTTGTGTGTTTATGTCGAACAATGCAAGTCGTAAATAACCATCGTTTGTGTCATTCATTTTAATACCGAAATGTTTGTTTGGGGTTTTTTCTCTCTCTATTTTACCTGTGATTTATCGAGCTTATCCAAATTTAGTTCTATACATTGTAATACTCTCTCTACAATCTTTAAATCATTATGGTTTTTCTCGAAAACAATCTTGATTTTTGGTAAGATCATTTTTCGAATTGACACCTCGTCCAGCCACTCATAAACATTGGTCACAGCCAACAACGCTGCTCCCTACAAAAACCACAATCAAACAAAAATTCATGTTTTTCGTTATAAATGAGAAAAAAAAGTAAAATTGAGCGGGGAGAAAGTATAATTGATATTTTGGAACCTGCACTTGAATGGTTGAACTTTCGAATGCATTAAACAGCAATGGCAAAATTTCCGTTCGTATGTCATCTTGTGGTGTTTTCTCTAAAATAACGTGTAGATTTTCTAATATCGCTACTGTTGCTTGGATTGATTTTGGTGCAGCAAAAACCACTCTGTAACAGACAACAAAAAAAAAAATATGTCAGCAAATTGGTTTTCGTTTGATCGGAATGCTGCTTTTACGTATTATTAAATGCAAAAAAAACAAAACTACCTGAATGTCGGTAAAATGTATGTTTCATATTCATTTTGTGTTGCCTCGGCCACTAATGCTAACGCTGGCTGTAAAACAGCAGCCAATACTTCACCCATTCGAATTTCATGCTGTAGAGACGGCCAAACGTGTAGCCACCACAGTTTCTATAGGTTGCAAAAATGCACACATAATTAGAACAAAACAACAACAACAACAACAACATTTACAATCAAATACATCGAGAAGAAAGTAATAGTATATGGCAGTAGTGTGCGGAGGGGGGGGGGGTAGGGTGGTTTACCCCCCTCCTGTGATGTGGATGAGAATTTTTTTTCGTGAAATTTATTCGAATTTGCTTTGGGTTTTTGATTCAAAAAGTGAAGACCTTTTTTTTTTAGCTCATCAATGTAGAAAATTGAGAAAAATTCTTTCAATTTGCTAGGGTTTTTGGCTCCGAGAGATTTTTTTCCGACTTGCTGGGGTTTTTCGCGGAGAAAATTCTTTCGAAAAAAAAAAAAACGAAAATTTGTCTGATTTGCTAGAGAATTTCTTGTTTTTGGAAAATCACCCCCCTGAAAAATTTTCCTCGCACACTACTGGTATATGGCTAGAAATAACCAAGGTAACGACCGATTGAAAATGAATTTTCATCCGTCTCATTCCACCTTTGTTTATCGTCGTACTTTCTATACTTATTTATATATACAAAGATATTTGGAAAATTGTCTATCTAAGACCATTCTCTAGAATATTATGTGTATATATTGTATTGTAGTATGTTTTTTTATTTTGAATTTAGCAATTTACCCGGGGAATATACGGCAATGCTTCACGCAATGTGGCTTTATAAAAGAACGCTTTTTGTGTGGGATCCTTCATATTGATTACGTCTAAAAATTGCAGCACATGCAACGTTGTATCGCTGTGTGGTAAGACAGTTTAAAAAAAAAGAGATTTTTATAAATAAAATTTTAACACTGGCATCAAAAAAACTTTTAATTGCATCGCCACTTTCACATGAATTACGAAAACTCTCTATCCATCTCTCTTGCTCGTTCGCGCGTGCACTTTGCCACCCGTTATCATTCTGTTGAGAGAAGATGGGTGGGTGTTTCTGTGCGCACTTGAAGCCGCATAAAAAATCGCAATGAATCAATAAAAACTTTTAAAATTAATCATAATTATGGCTTTGAAAAGTCTTAATACAAAAAAATTATTATTAACATTGCGCCACAATCTGGCAACACAAAAAAAAGAGAGAAAAGAAGAAATATAAGAGTTGGAATGAATGAATGCAGAGCATATGATGTGAACATTGAAGCGAATGCAATGTGATAAAATAAATTTGGCGTTGAAATGATAATGATTAATGATGATAAAGTCGTGGAAAATTATTCAGTCGTGGAAAATTTAATTTTGGCATGTGTTTTTATTCTTCATTCATTTTTTTCTGGCCGTTATAAAGCACACTTAATTAGTTAAATTTTAATCCTTACCCAAAATATTTGATCAATTGCAGAAGTTGAGCAGTTGGTCGTGACATTGAGTCTTTCACCGTAAGACGTGACACAGCTTCTTGTAATGGTACTGGTATGCGAGGTAGCATTTTCTGAATGGATTCAGGCAACTTATGAAATCATGTCGAATGTAATGCAGAGAAATAAAATGATTATTGATCAGCAAAGGAGAATGAAGAAAAATCAAAATCCAATTAAACATGTGTATGAGAACGGATTCAATATATTGGTATTCAACAAATAAGCATATGAAACTTACCACTTCCATTTGCTTTAAATATGTTGAAGCTGAATTATTGGCCTGAATCAGTGCATGGCCTTGATTGAATATCGTACAGATCACTAAGCCCAGCGAAAACATATCACTTAATATAGAGCACTTGGAAAGTATTTGATTTTCAGGAGCTGCATAAGAAAACGGTGAAAAAAACAACAACAACATAATAATAATAGAGAAAATGGAAGAAAAAAGAACAACAAAGCTGCAATGCTTAGGTTGAATAATTGAACCGATAAACATGAGATCGAAGCATATAAGCACGAATAATAATCGATGCAGAAATGAGCTCACATACACAAAGTAAATTATTAAACCTCGTACGTTTTTGTATAAATGAAAATTATGTACATACAGCTAGGGGATAGACACGCAATCCAAAAGCGATATACAAACAAATCTATACGATAAAAATAAATCTCTTTAAATTATTCGAATAAAAAAAAACATTCCACTAATAAATTTTAAGCCCATCTATACACAAATGCATACACGGTGTGTGTGGGGTCGTTTTTTTCTTCTTCTGTTAGTTGTAATTCTTGTTGTTCATTGAGACCTTGACCTGGTTAAAAACTTGAATAATCCAATGACACACAAAAAAGAACCCCATACACATACACAAAACAGCATATTATCTCGCATAATCATCATTTGTTCAAACGCAAATCAAAAGCAGAGCTCGATAAATATTTCTTCGCTTTCGCGCGTGCCTCTTAAATATACTCTAATTTGTCGATGGAACGAAGTAATAGTCAATTAGTTTGCAATTTCGATACACAATGGAAAACAGCATACAACCTACGGCAGAGAAGAAGAAAAAAAACACGTATTTTACATACCCATGTAGTCCAAATTGGGTTGAGTCATTTTCGATGCACGTGAGCTCCATGGTTGGCATGGCACAGGATCAACAGGGTCAATTTCATTAGCTCGTTCTGGGAATTTGTATAACACAAAGACCAAGTACAAAAAGATGAAATAAATTGAAGAAAACAAAACAGATGAAGCCAAATGAAAATTGCAAATTGATTAATTTTTGCAACAAATGGTGTAAAGTGTGTGTGAGAGGAGAGAGAGAGAGAGAGAGAGAGAGGCGGGGATGGAAAACCAAACGATTAATTCCGATCGTAAGTTATAGCATAATAAAATCGAATCGTGTGCATTGGATAAAGATACACTTTAATCCTCTCTATTTCCATTTTTATATTCTGTATATGTGTTTGTATGTGTATATATTGGGTGTATAAATTAATTTTGAGGGATTTCTACCAGATGGCGTAACTTGTACTGTAACGCATCGGACCATACTGTAACTTTATTCACGTGAAAGCCACATCATTTGACATTAGTTTTCAGAATGTGTTATTTTGTCAAAGTGTAAACAACATAATTTTTTCGCTTACAATCATGTCAGCATATGTGCCAAAAAAACAGCATTTGCGGGAAGTTTTACTTTTCTTCTTTAATTCGAAGAAAAGTGCCGCTGAGAGCCATCGATTATGGTCGGAAACTTATGGTTCTGACCATAAAATATCGATTAAAACATGCGAGTACTGGTTTCGACGCTTCAAAAGTGGTGATTTCAACGTGGAAGACCAAGAACGGTCAGGTCAGCCAAAAAAGTTCGAAGATGCAGAATTGCAAGCATTATTGGATGAAAACTCGGCCCGAACAAGATCTCTAATACAGTAGCTTTTTTATATGAAATCTGTCACACTAACGCCCTCACTCTATCTTTTGGCGAACTAAACAGAATAAAGTTTAATATAAAAGTAAAGTCTCCATCAGGATATTTTATACAGCCGGTGTCAAGATCAATAAAACTGTTAATAGAATCTGCCATTTTTACGCAATTTTGCGATGTGATTGCGAGATTAAGAATATAAATAAAATAAATGAACGGAATAAACGAACTTAACAGAACAGAATAATTCGCACGAGTGTATGACAAGTATGTAAGAGAACAATAACATTACGTTTTGTATCTATCTGTCAAATGTCACACTCACACTTATAAGTTTACGTATGAGGATTTTAACAAAATCATTTCTACAAGATCTACACACTCTACACCCGAGGCTTTTTAAGTTAAATTAAAACGCATATAAATTTATGTTTTTTTAAATAGAAATTATTTAATGCTAATTGTGCTAACTTCACTTTCAAAACAAAAAAATGAAACAATTTATTAAATTATTTTTCAACAATTTTTGGAATAACATATGCGCTCATTCTCAAACTTGTGAAATAATATCCCATTCTATATATAGATGGCACTGTCTATACGAAGTTCGGCAAACAAAGCATTACGCTTATTGAGCGCATTACACCTCTTGCCCGAACCGAAAAAGAACTCACAATGGAGTTAAATGTAACTCAAGCAACCATTTCCGGATGTTTACATGCCATGGGAAAGATTCGAAAGCTAGGAAAATGGGTACCACATCAACTGACTGAAAATCAACTCAAAGCACGAATCACAGCATGCAGAGAACATCTCAAAGAACACAAAAAACATAGTTTTTTGAGTCGAATTGTCACGGGCGATGAAAAGTGGGTCTATTACGACAACCCCAAACGTAAAGGAGCGTATGTTGATCCAGGCCAACCAGGACCATCGCAGTCAAAACGAGACATTCATTGCCTGAAGGTTATGCTGTGCATTTGGTGGGATCAAAAAGGTGTCGTGTATTATGAGCTGCTAAAACCAGGTGAAACGGTTACAGCCCAACGCTACCGCATGCAATTAATCAAAATGGAGCATGCATTGAAGATTAAACGGCCACGGATAGCGTCTAAACAAGACAAAGTTGTGTTTCACGATGATAATGCCAGGCAGAAGTACAAGACTTCGGTTGGGATCGGCTTGATTAACCCGCGTACTCTCCAGACCTTGCTCCTTCTGACTACCACTTGTTTCGATCGATGCAAATTGGCTTGTCCGAGATATCGTTTCGAAATCCTGAAGGAGTGCGAAAATGGATCGATGAATGGATAGCCTCAAAAGATGAGGAATTCTTTCGACGCGGAATCGACAAGCTACCAAGAAGATGGGCGGAAGTCATAGCAAACGATGGGCAATACATTGGTTAAAGTACTCATTCTTGTTATTTTAAATAAATGTTTCTTTTCACACAAAAATCCCTCAAAATTAATTTATACACCCAATATGTGATTATAAACTCACCAGTAAATTCTAGTCCGGATAGTTTCCATGTTCCTCTTTTTGTCACCAAAATTGACGAAGGACAAACATTGCGATGAATGACATGACCGGAATAATGTAAAAATGTTAGAGCTTCGGTAATCTGTTGTGGAAAAGTTCCGGCGAAAACGAAAAAAAGAGAGAGAGAAAAGAAATCGGTATGTCGGTCAATCCAGTTGATTAAATGAAACATTTCTTTTCGCCGAAATTTGGCCTGCCTTCGAATGAATGCGTTCGGATATCCATTTTGTTTTCGATTTAAATCTTCTTTTTTTTTGTTGTCGTTGGTGTTGTTACCTGCAACAATCCATAACGAAGTTCCATGTCAAGGAATGAATATTCTTTTGCATGGGCTGGCCGTTGTATTTGTCCCGGCGGTTGTATGTGTGATGCTCCGGTGCTTGGTGGTCCTGTTTGTACCGTACTACATGATTCCTGTTTCGATATAAATAAATTTAAATGACACTTCAATTTATGGTGTGCATGTGCGTAGTGCGTACAAAAGAGCGCATCCTTATGCTCTATATCACACAGACGACCCATTTCCAAGTAATCGAAATTGGCAATGGTATTCGAAATTACCTGGTATGCAAGTATATTTGCTAAGCTCGCGAATATTGGTTCCGTTGCAAATGCTAACGTTTCTGGACATTCTTCGACCGGATGAATAATTTGTAGTATCTGGATGGGAAAGGGACAGAAGAAAAAAAAGCCGAAGGTATATCGATAACAAATTCGATGATGATGATATAAACGGAATTTTCTTTGGATATACCTTTGGATGCCGAAATCGTTCTAGTTGCTTAATCGAATTTCTTAAAATCTCTGTTACGGTCTCTTTCCGTTTTGGTTTATGAAGTTTCTCGGCGCATCGTTTTTCAAATATAAATATCGAACATTCCTACAGAGATGATTTTGGAAGAGAGAGAGAGAGAGAGATAATACCATTTTATTTCAACCCAAATAAACTTCATCGTTAACTGTAACGAAGTGTTTACTTTTACCAAAAATAGATGTCGAGAGGTTGTAGTTGTTTATCCAAATAAAATAAAAACAACCAAATTACCCATTTCGATTTTCTTCTCTCTCTTTTTTTTGCAATAGTTGTTGAACCATGAAAGAAAATGCATACGTCACGCGCATAAATATAATCACCACCTACATTTACTGCCACCTCAAAATGACGTAAGACTTTTTCAATGCCAATCTAAAGCTTTGCTTTTGTATATATTTCTTACTCTTTAACTTTGTTTTATGTCATGTTGCACATTGAACGCGTGCGTGGGATTCGACAAAACAAGTCCAAAAGAAGGCAATTGGGAGACGAAGAGAGAGAGAAGAGTATTAAGCCACTTCGCCCCGAACATTCTAAAGTCTTTACTTAACAGATTATAAAAGAAGTTTATTCCTTTTATTTTGTGAAGTTGGTGAATTTTTTATGAATTTCAAGTCAATTTGTGAATAATTCCCATTGAAATTTGTGTCCGGAGAGATGGTGACGGTAGCAACCGTCTTTTTTCGTTGAGGAGATTTGTTTCGTCTTAAGGATGGTTGTGTATGTATACCGGATTACAACCTTTTTTCATCCCTTTTTTTTGTGTATGTCAATTACGAAGTGGAAAGCACATATGGCGTTTTGCATGGAAAATTGGCCTTTTAATAAGAATACGACTATCCTTGTGGAGAGAAAGAGAAAGAACACCATCGCATATCAACTATCACGACCATATTCTTGAGTCGATTGTTTTTTTGCCAGTTCATTTAATCCACTATTAGCTGATTAAAATGCAACCCATCATTTTGTATATGCTAACTCACAGACATTATTCCAATTTGATTTGGTTATGGATATTCAAAATACGTCAAATTTCGACGACCCACCAATGTCTATTAATCTATTCTAGACATATCCGCCGACGTACACACAGCAACCAACATATAACGAAATCAAGGGGTTGAACATTTTAGGATATTGAACGAACTGTTTCACAATTCAAACCCATTTGGTTTACCCGATGACCTTTCAACTCATCTGTATTCAATTATTTATGTTCATATGAATGTCCAAGAATGAAAGTGAGTCTTCTCCTGAGAACATAGAAATGTGTAACAAATCTTAAAGATTTCATTGAATTGTAGTACCAACGCAAATTTTATTGAAATGAAACACGGCGTGATGAATAAATTTTGTTTTGGTATTACATTTTGAAAAATTTCTTGCCGTGTGTTTTAATTTAAAATGCTTTTCTACGATGTTACGAATAAAAAAAAATTGATTTTGATGTTACGAATAGAAAAAATTGGTTTTGATTGTTTACGAGTTAAAAAAAAAAGACTAATTTTTACGCTTTTTATGAGATCGATCAGAAAAGTCGTGAAAAAATCTTCAACATGAATTGGAATGTAAATCAAATGCCAACATATAAGGTTATTCAATAGGTATCACATAGCAAGCTTATATGAAACTTTCGGATACTCGGTATAGAGCACTCAAACAGTGAAAAAAGTCCAGATCGTGATTTAGATGATATGGAATGCGATTTTTTTCATTCTGATTTCGCCAGGTGATACAGAAATGGCACTGCCGTAGGTCCGTATATATTTGGCGTTTGTCATTTCAGCGGTCTTCCGTGTTTTTCATACAAGCCTCCCATAAAGATGGTAAAAAATCGCGAAAAATAAAAAAAATAATTAATTTTTTTTCTTCAATTCTCAAATACTACTCAATTTTCTGTATCACCTGGTGAAATCAGAATGAAAAAAATCGCATTCCATATCATCTAAATCACGATCTGGACTTTTTTCACTGTTTGAGTGCTCTATACCGAGTATCCGAAAGTTTCATATAAGCTTGCTATGTGATACCTATTGAATAACCTTATATGTTGGCATTTGATCAGACAATATATTTAGCTGTCACCATCTGGATATTACAGCTCATCTGGATATCGTCAGCAGATGATACGAAGTGAAAACAATAGAAGTGATTGTTATAGGTATATAAGCTTGTTATATACTGGTATTACTATAACCATCACTTCTATCGTTTTCACTTCGCATCATCTGCTGACGGCATCCAGATGAGCTGAAATATCCAGATGACGGCAGCTAAATATATTGTCTGCATTTGATTTACATTCCAATTCATGTTGAAGATTTTTTCACGACTTTTCTGATCGATCTCATAAAAAGCGTAAAAATTAGTCTTTTTTTTAACCAATTTTTTCTATTCGTAACATCAAAATCAATTTTTTTTTATTCTTAACATCAAAAAAAGCATTTTAAATTGAAACACACGGCAAGCAATTTTTCAAAATGTAATACCAAAACAAAATTTATTGAAGTGTAACACGCCGTGTTTCATTTCAATAAAATTTGCGTTGGTACTACAATTCAATGAAATCTTTAAGATTTGTTACACATTTCTATGTTCTCAGGAGAAGACTCACTTTCATTCTCGGACATTCATATAATGATTGAAGCAATTCAATATGCGAAACAATATTGTTTTCGATGCGAAAAAGGTGTGTACGTCCGTTAATTTAAAATACACTTATGATGAATATTGACATGCATGTAATCCCTTGTGGAAATATTTCGACTTCATAGCCGACTATAAATTGACTAATTTGGGACAAAAATGGCTGATATTTCAGCTAGTATTTCAACCAACTAAAGTTAACTATAAGTGACTTTATGCGTCTTCATGTAACTTGAGTTGAGAAATGTCGATTGTGATCATAGTTAACTACGGTTAACTATAAGTATATGAAATTGATTTTTGTCAACTATGTTGACTATAATCACTTTTAGTTAACTCTGACACATAGCCGACTATATTCGTTTTCAATCATCTATTGGTAATTTTAATCGAATAAAAGTGATCAAATTCGACTTAATTTATGGTGAGTCAGTCATTTTTTTTCCACAAGGGATTAAAAGTGAACGTAGTTTAGATAATTTATAAAACGTTTTCATGGTCAACTTCATGGTAACCTTCAAAAATAGACTGAAAATCACAATGGATACATTATGCTCTTTATATCCACCAAAATAGTCTTTATGAACCCAAATAACGCATGTGATTTGAATTAAAATGAGAGTTTGCGTCACTACAATTTTTTGTAAATCAAATAGATTGAAGAGTCAAAGCTTTGCTTTTTTCTTCATTTCTTTCCCTTGTCAAGGAGACATTGAATAGTGAATCAGACATTGAATAGTGCCGTTTTTTTTTTTTTTTTTGAATACACTGCTGAGTGTTGACACAATGAGACAAGTATGTACTTCGATGGTGGACTAACTAAATATAGTTTTTTTTATTGACGAGCAAAATGAAGTCCAACCTAGTATTTTGTGGCGTATTTATTAGTAAAATTATGTAAACTTATCATTTTTTGTGTCTTTGTTATTCCATTCATATTCGTGAAAGCCCTTGAAAATGAAACATAAGCGGTTGATTATAATGGAAAAATTTCGTGCAAACAATCGTGCCGTTCGAAATGGTAAGTCAACACACCTCTTTTGAATGTTTTTTTTTGTTCGACGAAGAGAACGACGGACACAACAGACACAAACGATATAATAAACAAATAGAATGACAGCTTCGAAAAACTGCCTCATAAGTTTTCGATCAGGAAAGCGCACACGAAGGTTGACATTTTTTTGAAATTAATCGATTAATTTGTTTGTTTTTTCGCAGCAAAATGCGAAAATAAGTCGTAGTTTTGGGAAATAATTTAGATATTTGGGAAATAATTTAGTTAAAATTTCGATTTTCAGAGTAAAGTTTTTTTCTTTTTTGTCCTTTTTTACGTTTGTGTAAATCAACCTCATGGTCGCATTAAGAGAATAATCCAAAATGTTCGCATTATGCAAACATGGAACTTCGACCATTAGTCTGTTCCTCACCTCATCGCGGTGTAATGGGTAACGGACAAACATAATGAGTGAAAATATAAAATGTATGTATACTTACGCGTCCATCACTTTTTTTGAATCCATCGTGGATTTTCCATATCAATTCGGGTCCGGCGCATGCAGTTTGTTTGCTAATTTCAAAATGTTGAACTATTGGATTGCTATCTATTGGATTTTGTGGTGTAGCTGCTCCGCTTTTGAACTTAGAAAACATTGTTGCTGCAGGCATATCACCACTGGATACAACAAAATCCATGTTCCGTCAGGAGAGCAAGCCAGAAAAAAAGAGAGATCAAATTTGTATAAACACAGATTTCCATTAGATTTTCCTTTGGTGTATATATAACATTATAATAACACAAAAATACCGAAAATTTGGTTCGCAAACTGTGCACTATTCGTGTACCCTCACAAATGGCAAAAACACGCAAGCACTGGGCAAAAACCGAAGAGAAAAGAAAAAATAACATGGAGGGTATGTATGGAAGAGAATGTGTAATTTGAAGAACGCACGAACATAAGAGGAAAGAGAATTGGGAACAATTAAAGCAAATTAATTAGCAACTAAATAAGTTTGTTTGGATGCATGTGCTATTTTCCATCTCCGTCTTTCTGCAATGTAATAATCGCGTCGAGGAAACCGGAACGCATTGTTCTCGCTGTGTTTTTTCTTCTTCTTCTTCTCTCAGTTGTGCGCGCGATAAAATACCACCAAAACTTGCCACACATACCTTTTGTACAATTCGATTGATTGACAAAACAAAAGGGAAACAAAACGGCAACAAAAGACGAACACTGAACAGAACCTCCCGGGTATTATATTTTGTATGTGTGTTCCAATTTTTTTTATTTGTGCATTTTATACTCAAAATCGTATTCACCAAGCACTGAGAACGCAAGGGAAAATGCGAGAGAGAAGGGCAAATAACGGACATGTACAGACATTATAAAGAGATATTTTCAGCCAGATGAATCAGCTCAGCCAGATATCGTCAGGAGCTGAAATGGAGTGAAAACAATAAAAGTGATTGTTATTGTGATTGTAGCAATGTAAGTGTAATTATAACCATAACAATCAATTCCATTGTTTTCACTCAATTTCAGCTCCTGACGATATCTGGCTGAGCTGATTCATCTGGCTGAAAATATCTCATTATAATGTCTGGACAAGTAAAATGGTGTATTGTGATTCAATGAAAAGTATGAATGCCATATCTATTGAATATATCGAGAAGAGAATATGTTATTCAGCGCTTATGGCTGAGTAATGTCTGAATAAAAACATACTCTCCTCTCGATATTTTCAATAGATATAATGGGCATGAATATTGTTACATTGAATTTTGCGCCCACCAGAATATTTTACCAACAATAACGATGTCGACGTTGATGGTGCAAGCAAAAAGAAACAATCACTATACACCGACATTTCCATTAATAAATATCCTAGGGGCAAATCGCACTTTCAAAAATGACAATTATGAACATTTATCGGCGATTGTGCGCCATTTTGAACGGTTTCGTACCACTCGGTACCACTTTTGACAACTTTTGACCATTTTTGACAATTTTTCACGAATATAGCGTGAATAATATTATTTTCGAATATTTTAAATTCTAATTTTTCTTTTGCAAAGAAAATGAATTTTTATTCAAAAAATAAATAAATATTTATTTTTTTTTACTTTTCTGTATTTTTTTTGAGCGGTATACCGCGGTATACAGGGTATACATTCTCCATAATCTACTGTCACTCTAGCTGTCACTGCTCGTGGCGCTGTACTCAAATTATTCACGCTACATTCGTGAAAAATTGTCAAAAATGGTCAAAAATTGTCAAAAGTGGTACCGAGTGGTACGAAACCGTTCAAAATGGCGCACAATCGCCGATGAATGTTCATAATTGTCATTTTTGAAAGTGCGATTTGCCCCTAGTAAATATCACAGCACACAGTGTTGTGTGTTCAAACAAATTCAAATTCATTAAGAATCGTTTTTATGTGCTCGTTTTAAGTGCTTTGCACGGTGGAACCCAAAAATCTAAGCAAAAAAAGAAAATTGACATTTTCGGCTTCGAAACATTTACCACCTTTGCCAAATGGTTGAAATCACTGAAAATTAGGTGGATATTTTCGGCAATATTTTTTTAAATATGTAAGCGTGAAAAAGATCGCATGTGAAAAGCATATGGTTGAGATAAAAAATGTGCGTTATAGAAAATCAACAAATGCGTTATGGTTTGCCATACCATTCCATAGGTGTTGGCCAGAGTTTCTGGGCCCCCTTAAATAATTTTCGGAACATTAAAGACATTATTGGGGCCCCTAGAAAATGACTCTTGTTGTGATCAATTTCAGAAATGAAAATTTCTTTCGATTTGCTATGGATTTTGGACGAAAAACTGAGGACCTAAAAAGGGGCTCTGAACCCCTTTTACACTATATAAAATCGACGCTTACGAGGACCCCCTATGAATTTTGCCAGGGACGCCCTACGAAATTTTACCATCACAAGACGGGGGGTGTCTTGCGGACAAAAGTGCCCGTCCGCTAAACATTCTATAATATTTTTTGGGTTGTAATGAATTGGTAGTTATTTATGGAATCGGTATGTTCCATCAAGTGCGTATAATTGAAACAGATCAATAAAATGTTTGATAGGCTAAAAATGGATAAATTTTCTATTTCACGCCAAACATCAGCATTTCCGTTTTTCTGTCAGTCAAAAGAACGAAAAAAAAAACCAACAAAACAAATATGTGGCAAGGAAAATAAGGGCGATATCTCGTTTAAGCTGATCGCCTTCTGTCTGCTTCAGACACCAATTTTTTTTGCTCTTCTTATTTTTTCCGGAGGTTTGATGTGTGCAATTCATCAAACTCATTCTTGTGTGCTTCTAACTGTCTAAAGTGAATATATTGACTGCGAATAAGAAGCGAATTGAGTGAATAACAAACTAACGATAAAAAGAACGGAAATTGTATATTGCGCACGTATTTTCCCCTCATACAATAACAATTTGTTCATACATAGTCTGGTACATCGGTGTTGATCTGTTCATTTTGAAGTGTTGCGTTTCGCTCAACAATGCCTCAATATATATCTATATATATAAAAGTTTTGGGGCCAAAAGCACTTCAGCATGCAAATCTGAATTGCGCGAGCATGTGTACCAAACAATACAGAAACATAAATTAACATTGACTGTGTGTAATGCTAGGGGAAAATATCGAATAAAATAAGTAACGAATATGCTGCGTATAAGAATATAAACCGTATATACCGAAGAATATTTGCAAATAATATTTGCAAATAACTCCGCATATATATGGTTTATACGCATATGCGGCATACTTGCGATGTCTTCATCTATTCATAGTATATTCGGTAAAAAATACTTGAGTATAAACCGTATAAACGTATAGATAATTCCCCCTAGGTGTAATGTACATGAGTTGAATGCAAAACCATACCGAAAGACAAAAAAACAATAAAAACACAAACAGACCACATACTCACACGCGCGTTCGTGTTTCCATTGTACAAAATCATAGCATTTTGTCATTTTAACATAAATAACAAAAGGCAATTTGAAGCGCGGGCATCTCGTGTGTGTCGTTCAATTCGCAGAAATGCGAGATCATGAGAGTACCGTTTTTATTTGAAATTATAACCATTTTCCACTTTATTATCCCCCATCATTGTGTCAGCCCAGTCTTGGCTCATCCAATGCGTTATGTCATTGTTGCCTTTTTTCGCCTCATAAAATCAAATGTTTCATATAAGGTATAAGTGTCGATAATTATTCAGACTCTTATTTCAATGCTAACATGGTCGAAGGCTCTGTGTCTCTTATTCTTAATGCCCATTTATATATTCAAAGTTCAAACCAATGCCACTTGAACGTTCAAGCATTTGGTGTAATATATAGTTGTTGAATACATTTTTCATCTACGTACAAGAGAGAAAGAGAGAAAGAATGGCGTCGCGCTCCCATTTCAATGAGCGTTGCTCTTAAACTCATAAATTCCAAAACGAACATTTATCTACCCTGTATATATGATTTATATTAATTACGCTTCGATTTCGAATTCTTGCAAACAGCTCTCTCATCGATGTCCTGCTTAGTTTTCATGTTGAAATAAATTTACACATAATTCGTTACGCCCGGCCCCTCTCAATATCTTAACGAATCAACAGCTCCATAAATGTGCGTGAATAATTGCTTTAGTGAAGCTGTCTGCATCAAAGACTCTCACAGAAATTTATATTCCAATTCGAATTCCATATGCCATTTTCGATCGTAACGATTTGTTTTAGGCTATGCCATTGGGAAAATGACTGTCAAGACAGAGATGGAGAGAGAAAGAGAAAAATTTAAATGAAGAGATCGGCATAGAAAGATTCGAACGAAAAAAATAATTGCAAGTCAAATTCATAGTAATGGCATGATGAATACGATTATTGAATCAGACAATTACTTATTAGCAGCGTTGAGAACAAAAATAAAGGCGAATGATTATTATGAATTATGATTATTTATGCTCCCTTTTTTTACCCAATATCATCCTTTCCATCAATACGGTTTCAGCACAACTAGCTGAAGCGAGTGAAAGCGCAATGGAAAAACTAAACGCATACATAAATCATGAGTTGTGCGCACACCGCACGTCGCATGCCACACGCTATATGAAAATCTTCGATTATTATTATTTTTTTATTCTCTTTGTTGTTGTGCTTTCCATTACGGAAATATTTTTCCTCCGTTGCATCTATTGACTTTTCGCTAACTCTATTACCGTTTCATCGCACCAATATTGCAAATACCTTTAAAAAAGGCGGAGATGATGATAATAAGAACGAACCCAGGAGCAGCAGCAGAAGAAAAAAACAAGAGAAAAACGGAATTTAATAAGTTTGAAACGGAATTTGATTCATATCAACCTCGGCTAATGCCATTCTTCGTTCATCGATGCGAATGCAGAGCGGACGGAGATGGGTAGACGCCTGAATAAATGAAAACACCGAAAGACGAGAGAAGATGTGATCAAAATATATTGAGCGAGAGAGAAAGAAAACAAAAATCAAGAAATCGAAGAGAAAAAAAGTCTCGAAGTTTTTCCGTTTTTCTTGATTAGAAGAGAGATAACGACGACGACAGAAAGAAGAATAAGAAGTAGAAAAACCAACAGCATCAGAGTAGAGAAAAGGTGTCTCATCAAAAGGTGAAACGGCGAAATGTGAAAAACGCGTTTGGCAAACGAAAACGTTGTGCCCAATAAATGATCAATAAAAGTTAGAATGTATCTATTAAAGCAATAAAAATTCATACCATAGCGCATTCGATGCTTTCGATATCAGTCGCTCACTTGTTCGATGCCAAAGGTGTATTGATATTTTGTTTGAGATAGATAGATAAAAAGCGCGACACCAAAATGAAGAGAGTGAGATAGAGAGACAAGTGAAAAGTAAAATCACACACGCACACACACCGTTCGATTATATTACGCACCGTAAAGAGTGATAAACGAAAAATCAAGTCAAATACGAATGAATAAATTTTAAAATATCAAGATAATATATTCTAATGTGAATCGAACCGCATTTACAGGAATTCATAATAAAGTTATTTATCTTGTATTTGTGTGTGTGCGTATTTTTAGTATGTATAGATAAAGCGAAAAAATAAGTAAAGCGAGCCCATAGTCGGTATGCCTTTACACGCACCAAGTAACCAATAAGAGAGGATAGTGATTGGCAAAAGCCATAGAATGTCATCGAAAGAGATGAAAAAGAAAGGCAAAGAGTAAAACAGTATAATCTAAATCAAAATAGCTGATTTGATCAACAGCTCAATTTTTTCTCAGGTCAGTAATACTCAATATTTCTTTGCGATGAAATGCACGCTCACTTGGGACAAAATTACAATATCATAGCGTATGCATTTTTGATGAATTCCCTCTCTCACTCACTCGTTGCGTAGGATAAATCAAAATACCGAAGAGTTAGACATGCCAAGTAAAAGTATTCGTCGTCAGTTTTGAATGGACGATAGGGAAAACTGAATGGAAAACGATGCGTAAAAAATAGAAGGAAATCAAATGGGTCTTTTGTAGGATATCTAATTATCTTTTAAGTTGAAGATTTAACAGAACGACCTTATAATACCACTAATTAGTGACATTTTTTTTGTTCACAATATTCAGCGAAATGTATCGTTAACACAGAAGTAAGATCAGAGGCATTAAACCATAACTCATGCTTTTTTTTGAATACTCGTACAATGTTTTTGCACGATGACGCTCTTTTCAAACATCCCAAATTACATACAGCGAAAGAGAATAAGAGAGAGAGAGAGAGAGAGAGAGAGAGAGAGAGAGAGAGAGAGAGA